CTATGTACCGGGCCCGGTCAGAACTAAGTTGATGTGTTCAATGAAGTTCTTTGTCAAACAAATCGGAAATCGGGAAACAAACTGCTGGACAATAAGTAAGACATTGTTCCATGTATTTGTCCGGCTGATATCTAGAACAGAGGATTATATGATCACTTATCTTAAATGGCGTATCATCATCTTCTCAGTTCCGAGAGACCTTGAAAGAGCTACCATTGCCGATCGGTTCCTGAAGTATTGCAGTTATAGTTATTAGACTTATCCAAGTGGGAGACTGTTGGATAAGGTGTCTAAGTCCATAACTATTTCTGGTATGTACTTGACCCGACCCGGCATGGTCCATTTGGGTTGCATGGCACCATGCAATTGGATAAACTAAAATGAGAGAAATAACACTTATGGTTTATTAATATATTATAAGTTCTAATATATTAATAATATTATTTAATTAGTTTGATCAAGAATTAATTTAGAATTAATTAAGTGATCAAAAGATAACTAATTAAATATATGGGTAGATTATGTAAATCGTCCATATCTTATATAGTGAGCTAAGAGGCTCCATGGATTATCAAGTTGGGTTCCACCCATAGGATGCTCCATGGGAGTTACAAACCCATGGGTCATGGAAATGAAGAGTCATGACACATTAGGGTTTACATGGTGTAACCCTAGATGTGTCAACACTATATAAGAAACCCATTCTCCACCAAAATCGGACACACATAAGAAACAAGAGGGCTAGGCCGATTTTAGAAGTGTGTATTCTCTCTAAAGTCATTCCAAAAGCATTTGGTGTTGTGTGAAGCATTTGAGGCATCACACTTGGGGTGCTAGGCTCACAAGGTTTCAAGGATCATAAGCAACAACAAGGTAAGTTATTCTATCTTTCATGCAAGTTAAAATTTGTTCCCCATGTATGCTAGATAGGAATATAACCTTGGAATTCAACTTTGCATGATAATTAGACAAACATATATCCAAGGTTATTAGGGTTGCATGTACACTTAGGAAGTGTTAGAATGCTCAAAACCCATCAGGTATATGTTCATGCTTATGTTATGTTCAATTTATTCCGGACTTCGGTCCGATGCCGGGCGGGGCCCGATGCAGTGGGCAGGGTCCAAGTTATTTCGGACTTCGGTCTGATGCCGGGCGGGACCCGATGTAGTGGGCGGGGCCCAATTTATGTCGGACTTTGGTCCGGTGTCGGGCGGGGCCCGAAGCATTGGGCAAGGCCCAGTATTTGTTATATGTGTTATTGTATGGTATGTGGTAGTTTGGGGGAGCTCACTAAGCTTCGTGCTTACAGTTTCAGTTTTGGTTTAAGGTACTTCAGCTAGCAAGGGAAAGGGCTCGGGATGATGGTATGGCACACACCACAGTTTTCTTAGCCTGGGAGTTTACTCTGATATTTTATATGAGATTGTGTTATGATGATAGATTTTATGAGATTTTGAGATACATGTTTTATGATCTTATACTATGGCGATGATATTCATGTTTGTTGAATGATTTTGAAAACAAAATTTTTGGGTTGTATTTTTGGGATGTTTCACGGATTTCGAGGAAGAAATCTAATTTAAGTGGGGGATAATTGTAGCATCCTGTTTCCAGTCATTTCTGGGTCGTGGACCGGAAGTCGATTGTGTAAAGCTTTGAGCCTTAAGGAGGTAAAGTTTAGTCCTTGTGGAAGGAGGTAATTTTGGTTAAGAGATTTAACCCTTGAATTGTGTTTTGGGCCGAAGGGTAGAAAGGAAAAAGTCATAGGTTGTGTTCTTGCATGAAATATAGATTTTTGTTCGAAGTTTTTAGTACAAGATATTTAGATAATATTATATAGCTCTTCAATACCTTTCTGTGGATATAAAGAACGTCGAAAACAGAGTTGGAACGAAGAAGTTACGACCGTTTGAAGTTAGGACGATTTTTGAGTCAGCCGCATACATTACGTTGGGCGTACTAGGCCATCCCTAGTACGCTGGGAGTAAATTGATTACTTTGGGTGTACTGAGTATGTCTGAGTACGTTGGGTGTACGCGATTAATGCCCAAACCTTATTTTTGTGGTTTGAGCCCTATTTAAGCTCCTTAATTTCCCCAAACCCACTCCATTCTTAGCCTCCACCTCTCCAACACCCTATCTTGAAACCCTAACCCTAGATTGAGCCTTGTGAGAAAAAAGAAGGTGTTTTAAGTGCTTTGGAGTGTTCTTGTTGCACCTTGGAGAAGAAGGAACTCATTGAAGAAGTGTTGGTTGCATTAGAGCTTGTAGATCCAGACTTTTTCACCTTGATCTTTCTTCTAGAGGTATAAAGTTTGAATCTTGATGATGAAATTGTTAGACCCAGATAGTTTTGGGTGTTATGAGCTTTTGGTCACTTTAAGTGCATAAAGTTTAGATCTTGAAAGTTTGTGGCCTTGTTATGGATAAAGTTAGAAACTTTATCCATCCAAACATCATTTTGATTCAGATATGAAGGTTGGAGACTTGGAATTAATGGATTAAGTTGAAAAAGATGCACTATTTGGTCCCTTTGATACTTAAAGACTAGATCTTGTTTGTTGGGACCATTTTAATGGATAAAGTTGGAGAATTTATCCATTATAGAAATATTATGAACCATAAAAATGTGATCTTGGCCCTTCCATCTCTTCCATACAAGAGTTGTGATGTCTTATTGGGTTAAGAACTTAGGGTTTTGGTCATTAAGCACTTGATAGTCATGCAAAGTCATACAAGAGTTGTGATGTCTTATTGGGTTCAAAACTTAGGGTTTTGGTCATTAAGCACTTGATAGCCATGCAAAGTCATAAAGTTGGAAACTTTATGACTTAGGATATCATTTTGGGCTTGGATATGAGTTTTAGACGTAAGGGCTTAATGAAATAAGCTCTTAATGGAGTTTTGGGACTGGGCTGCGTACGATGGGCGTACATTGCAGTGCGATGCGCGTACGCGGTCAGCGCCTCGTTTTTGGTCAACATCAGAGTATGTTGGGCGTACTCCGCTGGGAAGAAATATTGACTTTTGGACCTTGATCGTTGACTTTGACTTTGACCAGGGTTGACCAAGTCTGACTTACGGTTATTTTGGGTATTCTGAGATATAGTTAAGCCTTGGTCTCTATCTGTTGAATAGGTGACCTGTAGAGCCGATATTCGGAGCAGTGTATTGTTCAACTATTTGTCATACAGTGAAGTGAGTTTTCCTCACTGTACGTGTGGGTCAAAGGCACAAATGCCGACCCACTAGGTTACGTATCCTAGTATATAGGATGTTATTATGTGATAGTGATCTGTAGATCTGTCTGTTTGTCTGTTGATTGGTTATATGTTCTTTTGTTATGTATATGTCAATATGTTATGGTTTTGGGTTGAGAATTTACTACTATGTGTGTGAGTCAACATACCGGGGGTATTCCAGTCCGATGACTGAGTGGACCCGAGGGTATTCCGGTCCGATGACTGAGTGGACCCGTGATATATTGGCATTCCAGTCTGATGACTGACTGGGTCGTGGGTAATCCAACCCAATGGTTGTGGACCCGTGGGTATTCCAGTCCGATGACTGAGTGGACCCATGGTATATTGGCATTCCAGTCCGATGACTGATTGGGTCGGGGGTAATCCAACATGATGGTTGTGGACCCGTGGGTATTCCAGTCCGATGACTGAGTGGACCCAACATGCTTGTTTGTATATGATATGTGTATTGTGTGGTAGTACTTTGGGGGAACTCACTAAGCTTTGGCTTATAATTTTAGTTTATGGTTTCAGGTACTTTATAGGATCGTAGGAAAGCAAAGGCGTGATCGTACACAGCTTCCAGTTTTTATGTATTCGGGTCTTGGAAAAACTCTGATTTGAAATAATACTTTTGAAACAATGGCTCTTTTTGTAAACAATATTGATTCATGGTTGGTTAAAAATTTTAAATTTATTGTGATTTTATGGAGTGTTACATTAGGGACGAAGAAGGCTGTTTTGAAACCCTGAACTGAAGTTTACGAGGTTTAAATACGAAGAAAACCCTAAAATATCATGGGCTTGGGTTGCAACACATCTCACGTCGTGAGTCCTTATTGCTCACGTCGTGAGCTCAACATAATTCAGAATCTTCATTTAATCACTCCTCGCGTCATGACCCCTTATGGCCATGTGGTGAGTCCTGATTTTACCCAAAAACCATGCATTTGACTCCTTGAAACCCTAAATCGATCTAATATGGAAACCGGGGGTTACAAACACCACTCCGGAATATACAACCGTTCCAGACTTTAGTCTGAAATACACTTTTTCAGTCCGGAAGGTACAGAGTGTCAGATTTTGGACCTCATCTCCACCAACCGGCAGCCACTCCGGAACAAAATCATAAATACTCTGGAATATCGTATTCTGGATCACACCTCCGGAACAAAACTTCGTGCTCTGGAATATGGTATTCCGAATTAAGTGGTCATTTTTCTAAAAAAATAATTTTGTTGGTTATTTTTATTAAAATGGTTGTTTATAAGAGTTAGATTACTCAACTGTCCTTATAATCTTGTTTGTTTTTATGATTTTGATATTTTCTTTTTATTTTTGAAGTTTGTAGAAAAAGAATTATGGTTATACTTAAAAAATAAAATTAATTTAACAATCGATGTCTTTATTAATATCAAGTTGAATACTAGACAACCAAGATATTACAAACAAACACTTATTTTGATAGAATCTTCTGATCATTTTCGTCTTATCACCACTATTTTGCACATAATAAATTTATATTAACTTTTAGCTTTTTAAACTTTTGAAGCTTACAATTATGTTTTTCCCAAATTTTCAAATAAAAACTAAACATACCGTATATATATCACGGAAATGCATTCTTCCCTACCGTACAAACAGTCAAAGTTCCAAACTTCGTGTTCCAACAACTCCTCCTTTCTCTCTCTCTTTCGCTTTCACAGGCATACAAATACACAAACTGCCGACTTGTTTTCATCAAATTCTCTTTCATTGACTCCATTTAAGTTCAACCCTATTTCTCTCTCTCTCTCCGTGGAATTAATGGAGAAAACCGGAGGTGACTGGAAAGAAAAACAGGTAATACAATATCACTCCTTATCGGAACGGAAAACTCCACCGGAAGACGTCAAGCTCGCTGCAATCGCCGTTAGCCTGGATATACGTTTAAGATCAGCCGACATGGCTATCCCAATGCAAGAGCGTGCCCTTTGTCTCACCAGATCGCTCATCGATTCTTCCTCTTCGCGTCGTCCTAATCTCACTCTTCTCGCTCGTTCTCTCAAAAAGGTAATCAATCTCTCTCTCTCTCTCTGTATAATTCAATGAAGTATTTCGTGAACTGAATGTGAAAAACGATAGGAGTTTGATCGGTGGTACGGACCGGCATGGCACTGTGTGGCGGGGAAGAGTTTCGGATCGTTTGTGACGCACTCGCCGGGAGGATTTTTGTATTTCTCTGTGGATTCCTACTCTTTTCTTCTATTCAAAACAGAGGTTCATTTGATTTGCAACGATCTTCCTCCGCCTTGCCGTCGGTGAATTTCTCCGGTTTACATTTGGAACACTCGAAAATCGTATCAAATTAACCGATAGTTTCAGGTGAACTTTTTTTTGAAAATTGACAAAACATTTGCCGCTTTGAGTTCGATTACTTTATAAATCTCCTTCCACTTCCATTATTACGCCAGATTCTGCTTGTAATTAATGATCATACACGCTACAGTTGTGATTCATGTAAATGGAAAAAAAAAACAATTGCTATTTTCCAATGGAGATGTTAGGGTTTGAATTTGAACTTCTGTCGGTGATACATGGTTCGATGTCACCGGAACGCTTGCGCAAAATCGTTGCCGGTGTCGGTGTAGGCCACCGGCCACCCGTAGTTTCTGTGGAAGTTGACTTTTTGTATGTCGCTGGTCGGTGAAACCCTTGATTTTCGAATAATTAATTTGGCATTTATTTTGTTGATACGTTTTAATTTAATTATTATTTATTGTTGGTGTGTTTTAAATCGATTATTATGTATAAAAATTACCTTAAAAAAACGTGGGTTTATTCGAAGCCACAACGTGTGGATTATTTTAATATAAAAATTAGACAAACTATAGAAATTTAGTTAATTAAATTTTGTACAAAATGTGATCTTTATAATTTCGATTAAATATTTTTTTTATTAGATATAATTTTGCTCATAATTTTTTTTGGACAGATTGTAATCAGCAGACTTGAACATTCAATTCTCTCTTTTTGTATTCCTTATAAATCTAGGCTATAAACCTTTTAGTAATAATCCCATTATTACTAATATAATTATTTTTTAAGATACTAATGCGAACGAAAATTATGATAATACAGAAAATCCCAAATAAGATAAATATTTAAATTTACGTTCGTAGATATGTTGGAACGGCCCTAATTTTAACAAATATTTTGTAACATTCAACTGTTTGTTTTATTTATTTAGAAACGACGATTTTATAAATAACGAAGCACCCGGTCAAAGAGAAAGAGGTGGGGAAGAAAATTAAACAAAAAACTTACAAGATATCAAAAGGACAACATGCTCAATCGTTCCAATTACAAAAACGTAAATTACCCTTTATATTAACCTAATTGAACACTGAAGTGATGATCTGATCCGTCGTTTTGGAAGGGGGCGCGAACATGTTAAAAACGGTCACTTCTTGCTCTCCACACGCTCCAAAAAAGACCATATATGATTGCGACAAGAATCATTCTCTTTTTAGGGCAACGACCTCAATTGGCAGCAAACTCAATGGCCTCTTTCACCGAGATGAAGCTTTAAATGTGAATGTTACACCAACGCCTCGTTCCCGAGTTTAACAAAAGAAATGAAGAGAAGAGAAAAGAAAGTCATGAGAGAAAAGAAGAGAAAGGAAAAGAAAACATAATTTTCTTTTGTATTCCCGAGTTGGAGAGAAGTGGAAGGAAAATGAATCATTTTGTTCCTTCTTTCCAAATCCTCCCAAATCGGAAGGAAAGTCAGGAGGGAAAGTGATCCTCCTATTTCCCTCCACTTCCTTCCACTTCCCTCCTTTAATGAAACTCGGGAACACCAATTTCTTTTATTTTCTTCTTATTTCCATCAATTTCCTTTCCTTTCTCTCATGGTCATAAGGACAACCAACAAGAATATGATCGCAAGAGTCGGTGCTAGAGAGCAAATGTGACAAGAAGAAGAGGAGATAAAGACACCTCTACGGGTAAGAGCAATGGCAGGCGGAATACGATCCAAACAAGCACTCAAAATGAAACATGTATCTTTGAAGGGCAACACATTCAACCAAATAGTTGGGTTATTGACTCCTCAGGTAAGCTTAGAATCAATGACATATCTGAGATTATTAACATAGAAATTTCCATCAGAATGGAAGTCCACCTACTCGCAGCATTCGAGAGCTTAACATTATCAAGGATGCTGCAGATTTGATCCAGCTCCAAAAGTTCAATCGGTTAACGAGGGATTCTTGTCCAACTCCAAGAGAAATCCGAACACGAAGCAAGCTTTTATGGAATCAAGGATATAGAGATGGGGAAATCTGGAAGCGAAGTGGTTCCCCAAACTAGTCGTCAAGCCATAAAAGAGTTGTAGACCCATACCCACCCTTGAATTTAATAACATGCTCGAGTTTAATATCAATTTCGCCAAGGTCATGGACGGTCTTGATAATGTTGCCCCAAGTTCCAGGGATCAAGAGTTTAGCAAGCTTATCAACCGGTTTTCTCGCAAGATTGTGGATACTGCTAATCACATGGCTCCAAAAATATGGTTGTTCGGATTTAAGCTGCCAAATCCACTTAAATAAGAGAGCGAGGTTTAAGCTTCTCAAGGAACCAACCCCTAAGCCACATTTTTCCTTACTCGCCATTACAGTATCCCAATTAACCCAACAAATTTTATTTTTTTCATCGATCCCACCCCATAAAAAGCATCTATAGATTTTTTCCATGTAATTTATAATAGAAGTGAGAGCTTTGAAGAGAGAAAAATAATAAAGTGACATACTCCCCAAAACAGATTTAACTAGGGTGAGGCAACCCCCGAAGGAGAGGGTCTTTGATTTCCAAGTTGAAAGCCTCATACCTGATCGATTATGGGTTTGCAGTTTCGTTTTAGGGACATATTTGCACCAACAGGAACCCTAAGATAGGTGAATGGGAAGGAGGCAGTTTCACAACCCAAGATAGACGCGCAACTGTTAACTTTGTTGTCGGGCACCCCAATTCCGAACACACGCGACTTTTGAAAATTCACCTTTAACCCTGAAACAACTTGAAAACAACGAAGAATGTGGGATAAATTTTTAAAATTGTCATTGGACCGGTCCCCGACGAAGATAGCATCGTCGACATAAAAAAGGTGAGAAATAGATGGACCATTGTTAGTTGTTTGAATGCCCCAGAAGATAGATGTTTGGCAAGCAGATTTCATAGTTACGTTCAACCCCTCCATAACAAGGATAAACAAGAAGGGGTACAGAGGGCCCCCCTGGCGAAATCCCCTATAGATGGAGAATTCGATAGTTGGTGACCCATTGATTAAAACTAAATCTCGCGAAGAGGCAAGACAACCTCTAACCCAAAACCGCCAACGATTCCCACAATCGATTTGCTAGAGGATGGAGTCAAAGAAATGTGTAACACTCCCAAAAAACACAATAAATTTAAATTTTTTAAAACCAACCAAGCATTAAAATTGTTTACAAACAACTCATTGTTTCAAAGTATTATTTCAAATCAAAGTTTTTCTCAAGACTCGAAGACATAAAACTGGAAGATGTGTACAATCACGCCTTTGCCATTCCTCAATCCTCAGAAGTACCTGAAACCACAAACTAAAAATGTAAGCCAAAGCTTAGTGAGTTCCCCCAAAGTACCAACACACCACATAACAAGCAAGCATGCAAACATAAGCAACCAGTCTGACTGGACCGCCTCGCAGGGCTTACAGCCTATCTGGACCACTCCATGAGTAGCCGACCTGATTGGACCGCCTCGCAGGGCCTACAGCCTATGCTGTGACAACCCGAAATTTCTTTCGTTTAAATCGTTAAAAATAAATCAATTTGGAATTTATTTATGCTCTTGATGTCATTATTTTGAGCTTAATTAACTATTTTAGGCTCGGTTCAATTAAGTGTTGGGTTCAAAATCGAGGTTCCTAAGTAAAAGCATAGCATCCGGGCCAAACACCCCCTTCGAGAGGAGTTTACGGCCGCAAACTCAGTTTACGACCGCAATCCCCGTTTACGACTGTAAACCCTGTTTACGACCGTAAACCCTGTTCATGGCCGTAAACCCCCACCAACCCCTTGGCCGTAAACTCACCCCTATATAAGGGATGAGTGACCTTCATTTCTCTCTTTACACATCACATGAGCTTTCTCTCTCTACTCTCTCTCTACTCTCTCATCATAAAGTCTTCAAGATCTTTAAATTGTAAGTATTTTTCACCTCTAATTGTTGCTTCATTCCTCTATCTAGTGGTAAATCCATGTTCCTATCTCATTAAATCTCATCTTTGTCTAGATTTTCTCTCACACCAAGAACACCAAGAACACACACTAGTTCTTGGTGGCTAAAAACCTCATTCCAAGCCTCTTACAGTAAGTAAATACTACTCCCTATGCTTGGCATCTGCTAGAAACTTTGGTTTTCACCTAAAAATCGACCCAAAGACATGAACACAAAGGGTTTACAACAGCCGTAACCCTGTGTACGGCCCGTACACCCCTCATTAGCTATGCACGAGGCCTAGAATATTTTCAAGAGGCTAGAAATGACCTTGAAACACCGAAAATCGTATCCCTCATCAAGTGTTTACGGCCGTAAGCACATGGGCCGTAAACCCATGGACCGCAAACACCTGGCCGTAAACACCTGGCCGTGAACCCTGGCCGTAAACACAATAGTTTGGTCTTAAACTCCTTAGATGCAATCCTTTGTGGTCATAGCACTTCTATATGAGTGTTTCCTAGCCCTAAGAATGCTTCACTCACTTGATTAGTGGGGTAAACACTAATTATATCCATTTGTGTCCTTGTATGCTTATTAGGATCTGTGTGTGTACTCAAGTATCCACTTGGCATCTAGCATCCTATACCACTCTTTCATCCAAACAACTCACTGCAGGTGAGTTCATACCCCTACATTTTTCGTATTTTTAATGTTTTCAGGGGGGGGAATACAAGCAAGCTAAACATAAAGTTTTCAAAATTTATGCAAATTTCATACTTAACCCTTTTGTACTGTGGTGAGCATAAGGGACGTTTTCACTAAAATTGCATAGTTTTCCGGACACGGTATTCACTATACATGCAAACTATAATTGGTATAGTTTGGGATTTTCTACACATAACAAGTACAGAAACTTTCACTACTAAACATATGCACTTAGACAAAACACGTTACAGTTTACATCACTACTTTATCATGGTATCATAACTGTAAGTATCACTACATACGGTATACATACGGATTTTCACTATGGTAGAACGCTACTACACTACATGTAAACTAGATTGTACGATACTGTGAGGTGCTACTTCACTACTGTACCCCTAGGTGTACAGGGATAAATCCTATCATAGTATAACCAGAGTCTCCTGGAGGGAGAGCGTGAGATTTGTGAATAGATCTATTCGGGACTGACAATCCCACACCTGAA